TTTGACGTTTGTGTATGTAATCCTTCGTTATATTTCATCTTTTCAACAAAGCCGCTGACTAATCACTCAACATGTTGAGTGCTGGTGGACGCGGTCAGTCTCACATAAGGAAGACGGGAGTGTGGAGTTGAGAGACGAGAAGAAAAATGTAAATTTTAGTTTCTCCTACCCTACGAGTCGTGCGTCTAAAGTGAAGGTTTTGCTGTTGACGGTGCTGCCTTAAGATTTCGTTGCAACATAATAATTCAAAATTGAAATTATTTTCAACGCGAAAGGAATCTTTAGAAGTAAAAATAGTTTGAATTGAAGCGAAAAAAAAATTATAAAATAATAAACATAATCTATCATCTATCATTCAAATTTGAAGGTCGATTTTTCTCTCGTTTTTCATACCACCGTCTATTTGATGTCGATACGAAATTCGACAATAATACATATGAATCACTCTCCATCCGATATCGAAATAGGTATCGAATGACAGCTAGCGAGCCATAGCGACTTGTGACAAGATAAGAATCCCCTAGCTGATACTCCAATATGAGTTGATGTGACTCCCTACGATTGTACGTCAATGGTCACCTGATCTCACACCTGTTTTTTGCCTAATCCTTCCTTCTTTTGCTCTTCATACGGAAAGTGTCGACTTAAAAAAGCTTAACAATATAGTATTCGATGGCCTATCCTAATATTGAGCACAATGCTCTCGTTGAATTTTGTTTAAATTATTATAGCCTAACCTAGTCTAGAGGTCATAAATAAAAAGCAGAAAAATATAATAACAAAAAATTTATTTAGCAGAAAATTTACAACTTCATAATTTAGGTTCTACGTTCGGGTTTTGCAAAATAATGAGATGGTATCCTTTTTTGTTCAACAAATTGTGAAAATTCGCAAGGCAAATAAAGTCGATTAGGTATATCAGTTTCACCCTTACATCTGGGGCATGTATACTTAATGGGGATTGGCATTGTAAACAGTATCAAGTCTATCAACGTAATGCTTCATTTCAATGAGAAAGTCTCCTGTTATACAATTTTGAAGTTTGATAATTATTACTAATGCGGCATGTTTTGAATAGACTCCTGTGATAACACTTGGTACTTTGGGAGACTTGGGTAAAATTCGAATACTAGCTATTTTGAATCCTATTCGAATCCTGTATTAGAATCCTACGGAAAGAGACCCGACGTCGGTTGAATCAGAAAAAAGTATAGTGCAACTTTGTGCTCATTATTATGCTGCTTTGATATTTCAAAAATTCCGAGTGCTTTCCAGAGATATCCGGAAAACCCCGAAATTCGCCAGAAATGATTTTATTTTTCCAATACCGCTTGTCAATAATAGGCAATCATCCTTACGCTTATAATCCTTGGTTTGTGTCAATATCGGCGCTTGTCAATAATGGGCAGTCCTCTCGACGCTTATAATCCTTGGTTTGTGTCAATCAATAGCTGTCTTTCTCTGTTCCTTTACGTTACATCTTTCTTGTCTCTCGAGTAACGAAATTTGCCCGTGACGCGTTTTTCAAATCACTCTCCATTGTCGTCCAAATAGCAGAAAGCCGTTTAAGAAGTTTCTGTTCAAAAATTATTGAAATGGAAATAATCTTGATACAATTTTGGAACATAAATAAAAGTTGTAGGATATCTTAAGTGTGTGCTGGCGCTATTTGACTGTGGGTTTGGGTTGGTGGTCTACAGAGATCAATGGTGGCTCCATCTCTGTCATTCTCAGGAGAATAAAACATAGTTTATACTAAAGCTTATTTTTATTCTCAACAATCATTGCCAATATGGTTAATAGGACTGTGAGTGCGACTACCATCTAAATTGTAGCAATATTCATAATCATAAAAATGAAATACGTCTTTATCGTCACCCTTGAATTTTTTTTTTTTTCAATATATATTGAGTATTTAAATAGAAACAGATCCCAAATTTCCGCCTGAGAACGAAATCTGCGAACGTACTCCTCTGGAAGTAATTCGTATAAACTGCTAATTTCTCACATTCCTGAATATCTAGCTTGGAAGTACTGGAATACTTTTTTCCTCAACCCATGTTATTTCTGGATGACATGATTTAAAAATTCCACCACATTGATTGCAGATCTTGGCAGATGTTCGGCAACTCCCATGACGTTACAGGTTATCCTGGTACTGGCAGATATGAATAGGCTTTTAGAGGGTTATGATCCTATTAATACTCATATTTAGAGCTTAAAGTTGTTGGAGCATCCAGCCTGTAAGAGACATTGTTTAGTATATAACACTGCAATTGAAATGATACACACCGCTTTCTTTTTCCTAGAATTCTGTGAACTTTTTGTTTAGGATGACTGAAAACCTAAATGACCAAATTTATTTATGAGCAGGGGGTGGTAGTGGCAGCCGGTATCCACTTCCAGTTTCAACTTGAAAGTGGTTGTCATATTTTAGTCCTCTATGTTATTCCATAGTTACCCTGATTTGTTGAAGGAAAAACTAGTTTTAAAACCCCTTCTTCTCGTTTACGTGTACGCATGTTTGTTGAATTCGGTGGGTCGGTTGCTCAAGAATGTGCGAAGTTAGTTTTCTCATATCCTTGCGCTATTTAACTGTTTGCTCTAAATTATTTTTTCGCATACGCATTTTCTGCTATCCTGGTAAGTGTGTCATAAAATCAATCAGTCCTCCGTCCGTCCTAATACTGAATAGGTATGCCACAGCTAATTTCAAAACGTGCTTCACGCTGATAGGGTCCTGCTTTGATGAAAGCCGCTATGTTTCAATTCGGTTCTTGAAAGATGTTTTGACAAGACTAACGTCTTCCTCCTGCTTCACCAGGTGTTGGCTCGGTGCTAGACACCGAAGATGACCAACCCATTGATTTATCGGTGCCTCCAAATCGCAATACTCACACCACCGGCATGTGGCTGATATTGAAGGTCCTGAAAATAATTGAATTAGATTTAAAAAATTCGATTAATGTCAACTTACCCGCAAAAGTCTAGCTTGCTTCATCATGGGGGCGGCGGGATCTCCAGCCTTTCGTTTGGAGGCTCTCTTGGAGCTGGGTGTTTGGGTGGTGTTGGATAGCCCCCTCTGCTTCAAAAATCCCACCACATTGGTTACAGATCTTGGAAGATGTTTAGCAATCCTCATGATGTTTCAGGTTATCTCCTTCCTGGTGAACCATTTTGTACACAAATTTAAAAATTCGCTGTTTATGGAGGTTTGTTTTAAAGTAAATGAAAAAATAAAACCAGTTTAAATTGGTTAAAGAACCTACCTAAATTTTAGAAAAAGAAATTTGAGTTTTGTGCAAATGTAAGTATAAAAGTAAATTCAAGTTGCTGCGTAAAAAACTATTGGAATTAAATTAAGAAATAGGTAGGTACTCAGGGTTGTCTGTATTTTTAAAAAACAAACAATATGATTATGTGTTAAGGAAAATAAAAATAATTCAATAATCGAGGTTTGTGTTAATTCAAAATATGTCTCAGGGCATGATTTATCCTACATCACTTAGATATTTAAAAATAGTACTTACAGTTTTTCGAAACCGACACTTATCGCACAAGAAACTAAACTTTGAAAATCCAGGCTCAAAGTACTGGTACTGGATGCTGGGTTTTTTGTACAAAGAAAAAAAATTGAATCCTCATCTTTTACAGGTAACAATGTATCCACTGAAATTTTGTATTGCATAGGGTTATTGGCTCATAAAATGTCAACGATGCTAATTTAAATCTATTCTTTTAAATTTTGATAAATTGATTGAATTTGTCACCTTTTTTAAAATAAAAATGGACATATTGATATCTAACTTAATAATTACGCCTTAAACTAAAAAATTATCTTTAAAATGTGTTGTTGTTTTTCTCGGGCGATTTCTGCGAACGGTCCTGATATAATTCAGATAAAAAAACTGCCGATTAAGCGTTTGCATTTAGCGGTGTTTTTTGTATGTGATACTTCGAAGTTTAAATCGGATTTTATAATAACAAGCTTCTCGCTCAAACTAGTCAACAGTGGAAAATATAAAATTATTGCACAACAATTAATTTGATTTTAACCAAGTAAGTAAATATCTTATATACTAATATCAATCAACAACAAGACCTGTCTTTTCCTAGCAAAGGATTGAAAACACTGAGAAAATTACAAGACCTGAAGCCTCATAGAAAGTGAAATTCTCAATATTTTGACAGCGTTTTTTGTATGTTATGTTGTTAATTCGAAGTTTGAATCGGATTTTATAATAATTAAGCTCTTTCAGTCTTGTTTGAGACTCGTCAACAAGAATAAAATTATTGCACAACAATTATCATTTTAACCAAGTAAGTGAATATCTTATATACTGATATCGATACAATTATGGAATATTTTAGATATGGATTTGAAATCAATCAACAAGACCTGTCTTTTTATAACAAAGGATTAAAAACACTGAGAAAATTATAAGATCTGGTATAAAGTGAAAGTTCCCAATATTTTCTACGATAGAGACCTCAAAATAATTGCAAATCTTTACTGGAACCAATAAACTATACAAATTAAGGTAGATCATAAAACTATTGTACAGAAATTATTATTTTAACCTAGTAAGTAAATATCTTATATACTTAGGTAATCGATACAATTGTGGCATATTTTTAGCTATGGATTTGAAATACTCGTCGAATTTGACGATAACGCAGTGTTGCCCCAAGACGTACCACCAAAATGATTGGATCATATTAAGCAGTTTATTGATGGAAAATATTCGCTTTTTGAAATCGTTGTCTTAAAAAATGTATGTTTTTAATAAAAAAACGAGGCCCCTTTCCCATCAAACGTTGGTTCCAACCAAGGATAATACACACTACTACTACAGGATAGCCTATCCTCATAAGGCCTGTGTGGAACAAATCCACTCTCTCCCCAACGTTAAATCACCAGTTGTGACGTAAGCAGCATGTTATTTCTCGCCTTGACGTAGGTTGTTTAAACAGCTGATGACTTAGTTATGGCGTCGCAAATGGTAACACACGAGGTCAATGAGCAATACTGTAGGTGTGTATCATCCTTAAGTTCGAACACCCTCTACCAGGTACAACATGAAGCTAGCTGCTGGACCCTCATAGTTACGTCACCACCACAGCATCCTGTTATAAGACACATCAAACTTGACACATGTACTCTAAATGGCGCCACGGACGTGACCCAGGTCGCTATGACGTCATCACAGAACCCGAACCATGAATCGAAATTTGCACTATGTACTCTAAATGGCGCCACGGACCCGCACTGACGTAACCCACGTGACCCAGGTCGCTATGACGTCATCACAGAACCATGAAACGAACTTCGCACTATGTACTCTAAATGGCGCCACGAACGTGACCCAGGTCGCTATGACGTCATCACAGAACCTGAACCCTGAATCAAACTTTGCACTATGTACTCTAAATGACTCCACGGACGTGACCCAGGTCGCTATGACGTCATCACAGAACCCGAACCATGAATCAAACTTTGCACTATGTACTCTAAATGACTCCACGGACGTGACCCAGGTCGCTATGACGTCATCACAGAACCCGGAACGACTCAGAACTCCCGCTATGACGTCATGACGTTTGACAGATGACGTTTGACAGATGACGTTTGACAGGTGACGTTTGACAGATGAAGTTTGACAGGTGACGTTTGACAAGATGGCGGGAAAACATTTCCCCCCCACCCCTTTTTCTGGTACCCATATTAAAATCCGGGGGCCCCTTTTTGGGGGGCGGAGCCCTGCGGGCCCCCAACTACAGCATCCTGTATTACGAACTTCACACTATGTACGCTAGATGGCGCCATGACGTTTGACAAGATGGTGCCGACGATGCATCCACCTTCGTGTCAACGACGGCGCATCCACCACGTGTCAAGAATGAAAGATTGAGGTTATGTTCGGATTTTGGTCCTAGAACCCCCTTTGATTATCTACTGAGCTGGTATATCACTAGACTAGATAGAGACCTTGGGAAGAGAGGAGAAGTGTTGGAAGACCCCAACAAAGATGGTACGACGAGATAAAGAAGGTCGCAGGCTTAAATTGGTACCGAGTTGCGCAAAACCGAAGACAATGGTCAAATTTGAAAGAGGCCTATATCCTAAGGATAGAAAACGGCTGAAAATGGAAAATGTATTTCACTAACTTTTTTTTTTGTGTAATTTGGTTTTGTGTCTAGAATTTGAGCGTTCTCAAACAGGAATCCATGCCGTGTGTCAAAATGGTGTTGGGCTAATGCTGATTGTTCTGGTTTATATCTTTTTTCATTTCTACAATCTCCTCCATGTTGTTGCATACGTTTATTTAGGTACTGTTTGGTCTGGCCAACATGTTTACCACATATTAGTTCTTGCCAATATTGTAATTAACCACGTCACTTCTGAAACCTTAACAAAGTTACCCTTCAGCATCCTATTTTTATATGTCTATGTTGATGACACTATTCTGGCTGCCCCTTTCATCAATCCTTAGAATTTACAATGGAAATTGAGGTTGAAATTTAAAATTTGATTTCTGGATACAGAAGTGTGTCGACAGTCGATTGGCATACTATTAACTAATTGGTATTCTAAAACCAAGTAATTCTAGTAGACTACTCAATTATTACTCAGCTCATCCCCTATCTCAAAAAATTGACATGATAACTGGGCTATTAAACAGAGCCATAAGTAGTCCCTTAAAGATCCAACACCTCAGGAAAAAAAGATCCAATATTGTTTACTCAAATCCTTGTGAATGTGGTAAACATTATGTTGGCCAGACCAAACAGTAGGTACCTAAATAAACGTATGCAACAACATCGAGGAGATTGTAGAAATGAAAAAAGATATAAACCAGAACAATCAGAATTAGCCCAACACCATTTTGACACAGGGCATGGATTCCTGTTTGAGAACGCTCAAAATTCTAGACACAGAACCAAATTACATAAAAAGAATAATTAGTGAAATGATACACATAAAGCTAAATGATTGTGTGAACCTCAGAACTGACACACAGGGTCTTGGTGTGGTGTATAGTAATATATTATAACTTTACAAAAACCATCGACCGGTTTAACCATGATTGATAATTTGAATAATTTATAAATATGCAGGTACTCTGTGGTACTGTTGATACCTACACTTCCATTTGTTTAAATTTGGTTGTGGAAATATACGCACTGATGAGCTACAAAGAAAGCGCTACTCAACTGACACGAAATAAATTGTTATTATTTCAATTATTTATTGCTATATAATTTTGTGTCTTAATCTCAATTATTTAATTTGATTATGTTCTACCAATCCATATTTTTAATGAGGTGTGTTTCCTGTTGTCCTATGGCGTGTAAAGACTAATTTTTTTACGAGTAAGTTATTATTTTGTTATTTTTACCATAAATGTTCTCTGTTTTTTAGTAGCTACTTAGTTTATTTGTCAAGTTTTATACACTATTTTGACCTAGGAGACCCATTCTAATAGTTTGTTTATACGTTTTAGGATTTGAAAAAGTACCAATATATGTACGAAACGTTACCAAGTGAAAATTGAGTTTCCCTTGTGCTAAGTCCTACAACCCACGTTAAATCCAGAAAGTCATTTATCAGGATACTAAATCGACATGAATTATTGGCCTTGCCAAAAGCGTTAATATGGGAACCTTCTAGATACAAGGGGAAGCGCGATAGACCTAATCAGGTCAAAATGCCGAGATCTCCATAACCTAAACACTCCATCCATCACAGATTTTGAAACAAAAAAATGTATTAAAATATTTATCATTTCTATGGTAATTTTGTATTAGTTAATCCTCTAACTTACCACTGGCGTGAAGACGTTAAGGAAAAGACAATCTTCATTTTCCTTGTAGCTGTTTTCATAGACTTGGAAGCAGACGTTCTTTTCAGCAGTACCATCATAGGTGCCCTCCCAGGGTTCAACTGATAATGCCGGCTATAGCAATTATTTTGATTACATTAAAATGAAAGATATGTTGATGATATTTGTTACCTTGAATCTCAAATCTCCTACTGGTGGTTGAGCATACCTCAAAGCTAGGAAACTGTGGTAAGTGATGCCTGAGCGAGTAGTATCTGTAAGTCCTTTGACTTTACCATCTGGCAATTCGATCACTAGAGCTTCTGATAGCTGAAAAATTATTTTGTATTAAATAAAAAAAATTATAGGAATAATAACCTTGACAAACAATGTCACAAGTAATAAATACTTAATCGGCATATTTACGTAGTTAATATGTTTTCTGCATGCAATGATTTTATACAAATACATTCAGATACTATTCTATAATCAAGTGCTCTACTTAAACATGTTTTTTTGTTTGTTCAAAATCATTGAAAAAAATTTGCCTTATCAACGTCAAGGGTTTTATTATTTAATGAAAAACTTTACATAATTCTATAATTATCATTCCTAAACATTTCTCCGTTAAGTATGGATTCCATTTTTTATTCACTTTTGTTTGTGGTAATTATTTCAAATTAATAGTTATTTTTTATACAAGACGATAAAATGGTAGTTTATCGTTGACTGGAAAAGTTAATTCACGAGCGGAATCGCGAGTGAATTAATTCCGGGAGACGATAATGGCATTTTATCGTCGTGTGTAAAACAAAGTTTTTTTTCAATAGCCTTAATTATGTACGCCTGTAGTATCAAAAATATTCAGACATTATTTGAGTCAAACACTTTTGCATAAGTAGAAATTCGTTTAACAAACTTTGACAAATAAATAGCTGTTAAAGTATCATTTAATCTACCGTTGCAGTTAAAGTACTACTTTATCTACTATTTTTAGTAGATTAAAGGCTACTTTACCAGTAGCTATGGAAAAAAATAAAAAAACTGTCCGTAATTAACTATTTCAGATAGCAACAGTTCATGGTGATGCGTTAGTAGACTTACCAAATGGCCAAATTCGAGGAATAACCCAATACACCACCAAAGGGGTGGCATATAATTCGTTTTATGGCGTAAGATATGGACAAAATCCGACAAATAAACTCAGATTACAAGTAAGAACTAATTTTCTTGTGCTTTCAACATCGATGAAGTACTTACCTACCTATCTACTTAATGCTCAAAAATTTTCTAGCCTCCAAAACCAGTAGAAGCATGGGAAGGCGTTTTCGATGCCACAGTCGAAAAAGGAATTTGCTACCAAGTGACACAAGATAACGATCTGGAAACTGAAGATTGTTTGTTGCTCAATTTGTACACACCTGTTGTAAGTATTTTTAGTTTTTCAAATTTGGACCGACAAACATTTAATAATTTTTAGGATTTGCAACGAAATTCTTCTGCGAAGCTTCCTGTAATGTTTTTCATTCACGGTGGAGGTTTTGTTGAAGGTACCGGAATTTTAGAATGGGGAGTAGGTCCGAATTATTTTATTGAATATGGTGTAATAATGGTTTCTATCAATTACCGACTTGGTCCTTTTGGTATGTTAGTCTTTTGTATAGGCACAAAATTCAAGAAATCTATTTTATTGTATTTCTTGTAGGATATTTGTCAACTGGTGACGACGTTATACCTGGAAATATCGGAATGAAAGATCAAATTTTAGCTTTAAAATGGGTGAGAGACAATATTGAATATTTCGGTGGCGATCCAGAAAAAGTTACTGTTTTTGGACAAAGTGCTGGCAGTGCTTCAGTTTCATACTTATTATTAAGTCCTTTAGCTGAAGGTAACTAGACTTGCACTAAAATTTGAAAGTTCTTCTTCATATAGCTTCTTTCAGGATTGTTTAGAGGAGCAATTTTGGAAAGTGGTTCAGCCTTAAGCCCATGGGCCTACCAAAGAGACCAAGTAGAAATTACCTATAAAACTGCAGCTAAACTTAATTCTGATTTTGAAACCAACAGAAATTCTACTGCATTATTAGAATTTTTACAAAGTGTTTCTGCTAAAGAGCTGGATGAAGCATCCTTCAACGTTACTAACGATCTCGTAAGAATCTAATTAAGATTAAATATTGAAAAGGGGTTTTCATTTGAGCTTAATGGCCGTCGTAAGTTGGAATTTCTTCCTGACGTTTCGCTAGCACGCGTGGCTAGCATCTTCAGAGGTGCTTCCATGTCCGATTCTGGTAGCAGACTGACGCGTTCCCGACCGTAAATTGTATTTATGTGTGAGTGGCTGTGGTGGGGGAGGGGCAGGGCTTCGCGGCACGTGACTAATCCCAACTTTCTCTGTACTCAATGGGATCTTTCTTGCGTTTTTGAGGATCGAGTTCCAGATTTGTTTAAGTTTTAGTGTTTCTTCTTTTCTGTTGAAGTTCTGATTTCTATAGCTTCCCGTACAAGACGATTGTGCGGTATCCGGAAGTCGGGACGACAAAAAGATCCATGGGAACCAGGATGAACGAGCACAAAAGAAACTGCAAACTAGCACAAGCGGAAAAATCGATAGTTGCGGAACATGCACTTAGTGAAGAGAATCATGAAATACTCTTTGGTGAGGTCAAGCTTCTTGCACCGACTTCCGGATATCACAATCGTTTTGTACGTGAAGCTATAGAAATCCACAAACATACGGAGAAATTCAACAGGAAAGAAGAAACACTAAAACTTAACCAAACTAGGGCTGGGCGATTATCAAAATAAATAATCGATTATCGATTATTAAAAATAATCGATTATTTTCGATTAATCGATTAATCGAAAATAATCGATTAATCGAAAATAATCGATTAATCGAAAATAATCGATTAATCGAAAATAATCGATTAATCGGAAATAATCGATTAATCGGAAATAATCGATTAATCGGAAATAATCGATTAATCGAAAATAATCGATTAATCGAAAATAATCGATTAATCGAAAATAATCGATTAATCGAAAATAATCGATTAATCGAAAATAATCGATTAATCGAAAATAATCGATTGATCGGAAATAATCGAAAGTAATCGGCTAATCGAAAATAATCGATTATTTTCGATTAATCGATAATTTTTTTTGATAAATCGTTTATTTTCGATCTATCGATTATTTTTGATTATTCGATTATTTTTGATTATTCGCTTATTTCACAATAATCGGTAGATTTTTTTCTTGGGTTTCATGAAGTAAAAGAAATTGACTTGCCCTTAACCGGCTTGTTTTGAAATAAACTCTCTGGCTACTTTGGAGTTTGAGGCCCGGTTTATTCATCTTCAGATAGACTTGCTGGTTGACAACTATTAGCAAGATCAATTTACCCTTCTATAATTATTGTCTCGGTCGACCAAGGGCCGACCAATAACTGGCCGACCAATGGGATTACAGATTGCGTTATTATCCGCGAAATTGCATACCTAACAGTTTATCAGAAGGTGAATAAACCGGCCCTTAGATATGCAAACAAAAACAAAACATAAAATTATCTCAAAAATAATAGATTAATCGTAAATAATTGATCAATCGAAAATAACCGAATAATCGAAAATAATCGATTAATCGAAAATAATCGAATAATCGAAAATAATCGAATAATCGAAAATAATCGAATAATCTAAAAAAAGGATGATCGGTTATACTCTTGTGCATCTAAAATGGCTAATTACGACTTTTTTCGCGGGGGCAGACATTTTTTATCTCAAAAAATGTGACAAATATGTCAAAATGTTATTTTCGTGTTTTTTTAAACCCACCACGCGGTAACTCCGGAACTAATAAACCTATCAACATAATTTTTTTTTTAATCGGTAGAGGACATATGAGCGGTGATAACTGTGCTAGTTTAAATCCCATAGTGACTCAATTTTTTTTTGGAAACTGGATTGAACTTCAAATCGTACTTTATATGCAGCATGTTTTTCGGTAAGCGAGAAACTTTTTTATTTGAACGAATTTTGCCATAGTATCTGCGTATGATATGACGAAAAACTATCAAAAAAGTTTAAAAAAAAAAATTCAACCATCTGGAACAAATAGTTGTCTAGTTATCCTTGATTAAAGTTATGAATATCCAGAGCGCGCGATGTAACTGCTTGTCGGCGACGCCGACGACACGGGATTTTACTGAGGATTTGAAAGTTGGTGCTCGAAAGGTTCCAAAATTTAAAGAATTTATTAAACCTTCTTCAAATAAAACGGCATTAGTATATTATTCAACCAACTATTTCTTGGAAAAGGGGCCTTCTATACTTAGTAATGAGAAAAAAATAATACTAACAGGATTCAAGAATGCCGAAAGTTGCTTTCTGCTGACCAAAAACGGTAAACCACAAAATTTAAAAAATTAAATAGCAACCAAGAAGCTGATACGAGGATGATTCTTCACCTATTAAATGATCTTCCGACTTGCAATTCCATTCTAGTAAAATCTATTATGCTTTTATCTCTGTAATCGTAATCACTTGTCCTTTTAATTTTCAATTTTGTTTTCTATATTTTTATATTTTTGTTGTTCTACTGTCTTTTAACAATTTTATCAATGTATTGTGATTCTCTTATGTGCAATCGAATGTTCCATCCTGAAAATCTCGCACTATTTTTTATAATTCTGGCCACATAATTTTTTAAGTAGAAGTCTTTGGTACAAGGTATGTAAACTTCATTTTTTTGTTAGCCCTTTTTTGATGTTCCTAATATATCTATATTTAAGCCCTGATGAAGTCCTAAACTTTTGGGCGAAACGTTGGCAAAGTCATCACCCATTTTCATTGGATACCGATAGGACACGAACTAGTCTTAATAATAATAAGTAAAAAATTATTAGTTGTTCATTGTCTTACTACTCTTACTGGTTGCGATACAACACTATCTATATTTATGTAACAAGCTGTTTTTTGCATTAAATGTGGAGATGCTTTTTATTTTTTATTTAATACAATTTTTTTGTTAGGTACAAGTAAGCAATTAATACTAATTAAGGAAGTAAAAATAAACGTTCTTGTCTGCCGAAATATGCACAAAAATGACTACAAGCAAAATCAAAATATCTGTATCCACAGATTTTACTAGAATGGAATTGCAAGTCGGAAGATCATGTAGAATTATCCTCGTATCAGCTTCTTCTTAGTTGCCATTTAATTTTTTAAATTTTGTGGTTTACCGTTTTTGGTCAGCAAAAAGCAACTTTCGGAATTCTTGAATCCTGCTATTATTTTTTTGTTCTCATTGCTAAGTATAGAAGGCCCCTTTTTCAAGAAATATTTGGTTGAATAATTCACTAATGCCGTTTTATTTGAAGAAGATTTGATAAATTCTTTAAATTTTGGAACCTTTCGAGCACCAACTTTCAAATCCGCAGTAAAATCTCTACGTTCGCCCGTGTCGTCGGCGACGACAAGCAGGTACATCGCGCGCTCTGGATATTCATAACTTTAATCCAGGATAACTAGAAAACTATTTGTTCCAGATGGTTGAATTTTTTTTTAAAAACTTTTTTGATACTTTGTCGTCATATCATACGCAGATACTATGGCAAAATTCGTTCAAATAAAAAAGTTTCTCGCTTACCGAAAAACATGCTGCAATTAAAGTACGATTTGGAGTTCAATCCAGTTTCCAAAAAAAAATTGAGTCACTATGGGATTTAAACTAGCACAGTTATCACCGCTCATATGTCCTCTACTGATTAAAAAAAAAATTATGCTGATAGGTTTATTAGTTCCGGAGTTATCGCGTGGTGGGTTTGAAAAAACACGAAAATAACATTTTGACATATTTGTCACATTTTTTGAGATAAAAAATGTCTGCCCCCGCGAAAAAAGTCGTAATTAGCCATTTTAGATGCACAAGAGCATAACCGATCAGCCTGTATAGGTTTCATGTGGTTAGACCTTCAAAAAAAATTTTGAACATTTTTATATCGTTTTTACTCCACTAAACCCCTTATCAATAAACCTGGGCCGCGAAAGCCTCACAAATTTTACAAGATTAAATATGTTCTCAATGAATACTTAATAACATTCTTAGGACAATCCTGGTAATTATCAATTATCAAAAGGATTTTATTACACACCAGTCGTTGAACATGAACATAAAGATGCCTTTCTGACTCAAATGCAATATGAAGCTTTTGAACAAGGAAACTTTTACAAAGTTCCTGTGCTTATTGGATTTAATGCCGAAGAAAGTCTTTTTATGGTTGGAGTCAGTGAGTATAACAAATATACATAAGTAAAATGAAGACAGGGTCTCCATCTAATGGACCTAAACCGTGCTGATGAGCTGTGATACAGCGAAACGCGTCCACGGATGGTCTTGCAGAGATAAAACACTTCTCAATCGGTCCTTAATTGGGCCGTTACCTAATTAAATATACATAATATAATTAGAATAATTAACTATTTCTATTATTTTAGAACAATTTCCGGAAATGATTAAAGCTTACGATCGGAACGCAACCAACTTAGTCCCATTTGACATGCACATTGAAGATTCAGATGTAAGCAAAAAAGTTGGATTAAAAATTAAACATTTTTATTCTCCTGAAAAAAGTTTTGGAGAAAATGAATTGGGTGCTGTTCAGGTAGGTAACCAAAATTGATATTAATACAATGGAAACTACTGAAGCAATTACTATTTCAGTTTCATTCTACACATGATTTTGATAAATCAGTAATTAAACAAGCTGAATTACAAGCACCATACGTTCCAGTGTATCTTTATGAATTTACATATATCGGAAAAATGGGAAATAATCCTAATGTTTTGGAAGGTAAAATAAATAAAAAACTTATTCTTGGTTTTAATTTGCTGAAATTACAGGATCTGGTGGTGTTGGGCATGGCGAAGAGCAAAATTATATTTTCAGTAGATGGTACAGTAGTGACATTCCCGACAATACTGACTTTAGTAAATTCCCTGAAGCTGATGTTAGGGTCCATTACAGATTTATGTCACTCTTCACTAATTTTGCTAAGGAATTGTATGTCATTTGATAATTTCCAATACGAATAAAAATTCAACGATGGTTTTTAGAGATCCTACTCCTCGTGAGGAAGAAATTTTGCAAAATATCACCTGGCCAACAGTACAACCTGGTGCTTTAAAATACTTGGAAATTGGTGCAGATTTAGCGGTACGCGGCGGAGCACCTAAAAATGAAATGTATTCTTTCTGGAATGAACTCTATGTTGGTTATGCTAACCGCCCATATGATACTTATTAGGATTTTAGAAAATTAATTATTTTTTGTCAATAAAGTATAATTACAATTCATGCGAGGGCACGCTCGATGTTGCCAAATTTTCGTGGGGATGCCCCCAAATTGGAAATATTTAATTTCTAGGGCTTGAAATAATCACTTGAACCCCACAGGACAGGTTACTACTTATTGACCGACCTCCGTTTAATTGTTACTCTACTGAGATTGTGAGAGGAACCTGGAATCCGTGACACTACTCTACTCACGCACTATCTCACCTATAATCTGTTCAAAATTTGTTCATTTATAATATTCATCCATTTTTGTTGTGTGGGTACCTACTCATAAAAATTCGGAAATACACCAAAATATCATCCAGAAAAAAAACAACTTTTTTCACCTATAGTTGAATCAAATCCAAACGGCAGTAATGACATTAACTGATCATTATCATTACAACCTTTTTTTTAACAAGAGGCTTGCCTGAAAATCCGCTTCCATCGGTATTAGGAATATTTTGACCCGCAATGAATTTTTAATTATTGCTTATTAATTTGGAGAAAAAAAAAATAATAATTTACCTTTAAAATACTCAGCACTGCTCGTTATTATTCTTAAATTAGTTAGTCGCGATTTAATGAGTCAAAAAAGTTCAAAGACCTAAGAATTATTTACCAGAAGCGAGAGTGAGGAGAGAGGAAAACTTAAATAATTGTCGACTTTATTCTGAATCCTAAACGCATTGTTTATGCGTTGGTTTAAAAAAAAATAGTTTACATAGGTACTTTTTTAATTGTAATCAATGGAAATAGAAACAATAGAAATATTTTAGCAGTTTATGATAATTTTTAACCTTTTCAATGCGAAAAAAATCCGATTATACTGATTTTTATTTCTAAAACCAGAATCTGTTCAAGTTAATGCAATTTAGTTTACGGGACTAATAATTAATATTTCCTACTTTTTATAGTCACCAGTACATCGACCCAAAAATTTTGTAACTCGTACACGCCAAACTTCCTGAGCGGCTTCATAACACCAAGTCGGACAATTTTGTTCATAATCTTCAACCTGGGCGATGGGACATTATCGCGCTAGCTCTTCGTGAAGTTGTCATTCCGACGTCCCTGAGAATATTCATACATGTACGTGTAGCTTTAATTCCAATCGACTTTTTCTTATGTTATTAGGGATGTAAGCCAATTTTTCTCTTGTCATTTATTTTTTTATGCATTAAATTTTCTGACAGTCAACATGATAACTGACCGTCATTAAAATATATGACCGTCATTGAAATATATGACAGTGTCACAAAATATCAGCTAACTCTCGATATTTACTGTAAATCTTGTGGAGGAGATGGGAGTGTACTTTCTAACGTATTAGATGACTTTGATGCTGATGACTGTGAAACTGAAGAAGAACTATAGTCAACCAATCAGATATCTGATTATTGATTCAAGTTATGTTATGTTCTACATTGACGGTAGTCGGTAAATGACCATAAATGACAATAAATGACAAAAATGACAAAAGAATTACTCACGTCACTCATCACAAAAAATAAATTACTGTTATTTTACATCCCTATATGTTATATTAACGGTATCACATTTATCGGACAAAAATCTCGTGACATTCGGGACCCCTACAGCAACATGTTGGGGGCGTCGATCTAAAGCGACTTGCATTCGCTACGTAACTGTAGAGTTGAATTTACTCTGTAAGATGATGTGGTCAGCCAATCCGAGGGCACGGTGTCCTCCGTCAGTGAGCACCTCAAGCAGGCCATCCGCAGATTCCACAGGAATGGGGATGATACCCCGCCCTGTGGAAATCGCCTTGTACACCCTGGCCGCCAGTGTCTCCTCTGCGATGCTGGTTTCTACCATTCTTTCTCTTAGCATGGAGTTGATCCACACACAGCAGGTGTTTGAGAGTTCTAGTTATTGAATCGAAGGAAGTGTTGTCGAAAGGTCCCTCTATATCCAAGCAGGAACCCAGCATCACCTCTTTATTTGCCAGTGTGGTCTCCCCTATACTGACCAGCTGGTGAAGCGCTGTTTCTCAATGGCGTAGCCAGCCTTGCGGGGCGGAGGGGGCAAACATATAAGGGGCGCATAATTCTCTTGGGGGGGGGGGTAAACAAATAAATGTTTGTATGATTTTGTAATATGCGCTTATTGAGGAAAAATATTAAAGACGACAAACCCGCCGAAGGCGAAAAATGTCCTCAAGTGCCACGCCCAAAAAAGTTTATTTTAAATTCAAAAACATTTTTTTTCCGGGTGCCGGATGCCACGTCGAAAAACATCTATGTATTTTAAGCCCTTCCAGAAATAATGTGTTTTCATGCCGTTAACTTCAAAAAATATTTCCGGACGCCTTGAGAACTAGAACAAATCCAGGACAATCCAGACGCATGACAGTTCCACCCAACCCATAACCCATTAACCCATAGTTTAATAAACAAATACCACATCAATCATCAAAACAGAAACCTTTCCTCTGATCGGACTGAATTATTTGCCGACAATGCCGACCTACGATAAAGAATAAAGAGTGAAAAGGTTAATTAAATAAATAAGAAACAGCATAATTTTATTTCTTATTTTTTGCTTTTGTTTCTTAAGAGCGGTAGGGGCGCCATACGCCAGGGGGCGGGGGGGGGGGGGGCGTCGCCCCCCCTTGCCCCCCTACTGGCTACGCCACTGCTGTTTCTGTTGACATCCCTGTCCAATACGCATATTGTTCTGGGTGTAGTGGACTGTTTGCCAAAACACCGTCCCTAATGTGCCTATCCGCAAGTTTTTCCGGTGTCTTAAGCTCAAATGATGTAAGAATAATGGGTCTTGGGACTTCGCCATGTCCTGTCCTATTTTTTTAGTATATAGCTAAAGGCTAGGCTACTCCTTAGAATGTTACATAGTAACCTGTAAGTGCAAGTTCATTTCCGTTTTGTAACATTATGGGATAGATGCCATCTGTCCCTGTTGGGTCGTGGGCTCTTAGGAGTCCCCAAGTCGGCTCTTCCCCCGTCTTTGTGTATTCACCAAGGTTGTTCTTGAGCAATTTGATTGTTGTCTCCGGGCCCCTTGACAGAGTTCTTTGTAGTCTAGTACAATCTTGAGTACTTTCTATATCCTCACAGTGCTTCCTCCAAGAACTCCTCTGGAATCCCCTCAGGTCTTTCTTGGACTTTTTCAACGTGGTTCTGCATGGTATGTCTCCCACTGCCCGGTTCTCGTGGCTTTATTGATATCTATTCTAGTTCTTTCTCCTTAAATTTGCAAGGTTTTCGTTCGACCAGGAGGATGTCCCTGTTGTAACTGGGCAATTTTATTGAAGGCTGAGATAATTGCTTCATTGAATTGATCCACAACCATCTCCAAGTCTTCAGTGTCTCATATTGTCTTCCTGATGCTTGGCAGACTGTACTCCAGGTCAGCTTTGTATGCGTCCTAGTCTGTATTTCGAAGGTTCCGATAATTTACTGAAGTTGTTTCGCCTGAAATTTCAAATTTGATGTATCTGTCATCCGAGCAACTTGTGAACTTGCCTCATCAGATACATGCCAGTGACGTAATTACTCATATGATTTGAGGCTAGTGTCATATCGATTAATACCTCCTTCCTAGTTGAATTAATAAGGGTAGGTTTATTTCCTATATTTACTATAAATTGTGTGCTAAATTATGTTATGTATTTAAATATAACAAGACGGTTTTGATTAACTCTTTTAATAAGAATGCAATAGTATGTATACTATTTTATTTACAATCATTCGAATTTTGAAATTTTCATTTGGATTAAAACTGCCGAAAGTAAAAGTCAAAAAATACAATAAATTTTAAAAATTTCATTCACTTTCGACCCACGGGTCGAAAGTAAACTTTCGACCCGTGGGCCGAAAGTAAAAGTCAAAAAAGTGACATTTTCGAACTTTTTAAAAGTCAGTAAAGTCAACATTACATGTATGATTGTAAATAAAATATAAATTAACGATTACAACGTGCTTACTCGAGACCTGTGTATCACTGTCATTCCTTGACATCCCTTATCACTAAAGCTAGACTCACAACATTTCTCCCCTTCTTAAAGGTTAAGCTTGTAAGGGCCAGTATTATAAAACACTGAACCGATGGTTGAGTTTCAACCTTCGGTTGACTCCATGCAAATTGATAGGATTCAACCGAAGGTTGAAACTCAACCATCGGTTCAGTGTTTTATAATACGGGCCCTAAGTGGGTTTTATAACTCTACCATAGCGGGAGACTTTCGTTGGAGTTACACTTTTAGGAATCACTTGTGGAACTTCTTCAGGATTTTCTGTTGCTTGTGAGAAATTTGTAGGACTGAACTTGATCTCAGAAGCACTTGATGGTTTAATAATTTGAGGTAACTATGATGGCACTGATTGGGGTAAAACTTCGGGTAAAACATTGGTTTGGGGAACATAAGCCTGTGCACCACAATAAACATCATTGGGTATAACACTTACATCACTAACATCATTATTATATGTTGAATCAGTCAAGCCTAAATCAGAACGCAAAAAATCTGCATGAACAAATTTGATGAGCATGTCAACTTGTACCAAATATGTACAAAAACTTAAAACCTTTACAATTTTGCCTTTCTGCCAAAGCTTGGTTTGTTTATTTTTCACATAAACTGATTCGTTAAGTTTATACAATTTCTTTACTCTAGGAATATTATCAGAACTACCCTTAACATGTCATAGTATACTATGACCAGAAGGTTTTAGCAAGTCGAATCTGGTTCTTGGTCTTAGTTTCAGCATGCATTCAGCTGGTGAAATACCATTACTTGTGGTTGGTGTATTTCGATAAGAAAACAAGAAACTTGATAATTTTAATAAAATTTGTTGTTCTGTGATATTCTCTCCTTATGAGAATAACGCTTTTCTTAGATCTTTTTTAACTGTTTGAACTCCCCTTTCTGCAAAACCATTACTAGGTGGATGCCATGGAGGAGATTTAATTGGTGTTATCCCATTTGCTTGACAAAAAGAAACAAATTCGACTGAGTTATAGGGTGGACCATTATCAGAGACTAATTCTACAGGCAGACCAAAAATAGAAAAAATCTCTTTCAATTTCGAGATAGTTTCCGAAGCAACGGTGCTCTGATCCATTAATTTCACTTCAAGCCATTTCGATTTTTGGTCGTAGACAAGTAAAAATGTATAATTGAACTTCTTAAAAAAATCTATAAATATTCTAGGTATAAAAATTATGAGGTGCTTCTGGCCAAGATAAAAGAGGACTACTATTGGTAAAATTTCGGAATTTTTGACAAATTTCACATGAAGCAATACATTTTTCTACATCATTATTGATATTTGGCCAGCAGCAGTAGGATCGAATCAACATTTTGGTACGCACAATACCAGAATGTTGCTCATGGAAGAGTTTAAGGATTTCAGGTCTTAATACAGCTGGAATAACAACTCTATTGCCAAATAAAATACAATTTTGTTCTATAGATAAATAATTTCTGTGCTTGAAGAATGATTTTAATTTTTCATCTTCAAGAGTACTTGGCCATCCTGACAAAATGAAGTCATTTAATTTCAGAAATAGTAGATCTTTTTGTGAAGCTTTCCTAATGTCATCAACATTTAAAGGAATTTCGTTGACCAAATTAAAAGAATAAATGAAATCAGGAATCTCAGTTTGGCCAGATAAAGGTAAACGTGACAAACCATCAGCATTGCTTATGGATTTCCCTTTTTTATAAATAATATCATATTGATAGCCAGATAGTGTAATTGCCCATCGGGTGACTCTTGAAGCAGCTGTTGTAGGTATATTTTTGTTCTTTGCAAAAATGAATTGAAGGGGTTGATGGACAGAAATAAATGTAAATTTACGCCCATATAAATATTTGTGGAATTTCTTAACTGCGAAG